AGTTACACGTCAAATGGAACTCCATGAAATTTAGATAGCATGGCCTCTCGAAACTGGAAGAACATCTGGGCTTCAAACACCGTGTCTTTTATGTTGTTGGCTGATGTTTGCTGCACACAGCCGAACTAAAAACACATAAAATTCAGTGTTGTTGAAAGGTTTTATGAAAACAGAGATTTTAAAACCTTTTTTTTTCTTTACAACTTTCTACAGGTTGTGCCAGCTCTCCAGTTTGACCAGTTTAAGAAGCGTTTTAGCTTCTTCCTCATTACACACACTTTCTTCCCTTTACACCTCATTGCAAACAGACATTGAGGTGTGTGTTAGGTGGTCTGTGCTGTATGTGCGATAGTAACTCACTGTTCTCTGAGTGTGCTTTGGCTTCCTTCCATCAAAGATGATGATCATATTTTCAGCAGTGATGTGAGATGGGATCTGACTTGTCCGCTGAAGTCAAAAATATTTGAACAATATTGTAAGCAAAAATAAAATAAAACGTTTAAGCCTGACCTCTATCAGTTGTTCAGAATTTACCAGATATGTTATGTCAGTTTGGCATAGATGGATTTAATTGATCTCTGATTATGTCACACACCCCAGCAGGTCACCACAGAAGCTCGAAATGCAGGTTTCACGTTAGTACATTAGAAAAACAAAACAAAAACAACACTTTATTAATATATAAATGAACATAGTGTAGACTATAGCCATCATTACGTCATTACTATAAAAAGATGCGTACAAATGGAGGCTCGTCTCCTATCATGAGGAGGTGAGGAGATCAGACTTCTGCCCAGGGGTCTCGAACTCCAGTCCTTGAGGGCCGGTGTCCTGAAACTTTTCCATGTGTCCCTGTTGCAACACACCTGAATAAAATTTGTAGATCATTAGCAAGCGTATAGAACTTGACTGAATGCTGAAGTGGCAACCCCTAATCCTACTCAAGTAAATTTAAGTAAATGTAAGTGTTTGGAAAAATTTACTTCTAAAACTACTTTTATTGCACTGTGTTCATTCACTCACAAGCTGCTGTAGCATGCATTCAAGTTCTATAGATTCTCGCTAATGACCTACTAATTGTACTCAGGTGTGTTGCAGCAGGGACGCGTGGAAATGTTTCAGGACAGTGGCCCTCCAGGACTGGAGTTTGAGACCCCTGCTCCTGCTGGTCTCCTCTCTGCACAATCACACAGATTGTCCTGCCCAATATAACCTGCAGCTGTCACTGTTGAGGCATTTTGAACAGTTCAATAACGGATGCTTTCCAAAAAATAGAGGATTATTTAAAATAAATGAGACAGATGAGAATGGCCAGACTTCTTCAAGCTGATGGGAAGGTAACTCAATAACTACTGATTACTTCCAAGCATCCTGCACCCCGAACCTTGAAGCAGATGGGCTTGTGCAGCAGAAGACCACACCAGGTGTCACTCCTGTCAGCTGGGAACATTTCTGCTTTCTTCTGGAGACCAAAGGAAAATCCTGGTATAAAATTTAATACTGCTCACGCAATACAATAAGTCGAAGAATGTCTGAAACACTTTCTGAGCAATGTAAAACTTATATTTTGAATGATTAAAACAGAAAATGGGACGTTAAACAATGGGTGTGCTGAAAACTTTACAGCAATTCAAGTAAGAGAGAGAACATATTTCTGTGAGGTATGAATAAATTACAGCAAGATATGAAAAAATAGCTTTTGGAGACACATTTACTATTAATCTCAGTGGTGTTTAAAATAAAGAGATCAGCTCATATGAAGGAACAGGCAACCACAACAATGGACGACTTCTTGCACAGCAGAGGAGTAGGGGAAGTTGCTGACACATCTCCGGGAGTGTACGTGTGAGAAAAGGGACACAAAAGACACATTGAAGGCAACAGTGGCATGACATTCGTGACTGCAGGCTGAATAAGCTGAAATCTATTGTGGTTCTTGTTCATACTGAGACATAGCAGGCTTTTAGTGGGGAATCAATTAGCTGTATCAGACTGTTTTGTTAATCCGTACAATAGTGGTCTACAATCAGTTTTTAAAATCGTTTATCTCTTTTATTTAATCTTTTGGCTCCTGTGGTGTTTGATTGTAAGCACTCAGTACCGGGGGGAAACATATTATTGGGTCACCTTATTGACATTACTTTGGCCTACACAGCTGAATCCTGCCCTCTTTAACTGCCAAATAAAATAGTTTCTTCCACCTCATTAGTCTTCCTATAACACAATTAACCCCCCTCACCTGTCCTCGCCGAGAGATCACATAACTACCTCATATTACTTATTTATTTTTCCCCTCAGCTGTGGACTCTCCACTCTCTACAGGAGAGGATGGTGTGAGAATATGAGAAAAATCAATTAATTTGATTTTGTTTTAAGTAGCACAACCCACTATAGTCCTTGTGCCAGTCTCATGTCTGGATAAATGAGTAGGACTGTGTCAGGGACCCAGGAAAAGTTTTGGCCAAGTCTTTATGCGGCTCAGAATAATTCCATACCAGATTGGTCAAAGCTGGGATGGAGGCAAATCATCCGCTTTGGTGATCCCTTAAATGGAGCAGCCAAAAGAAGAATAGGAAGATACTGGCTCAGAGTGTGAATCATTGGAGCTCAGTTTAATTTAGATATAACTTTTAAATTCTGTCCTATAATTTTTTCTTCTTTTTTTCTTTTTAGGTTATGGCTGTTGGGAGTTGATCCATATCCAGGAATTCTCGGAGGGATTTTTTTTAACCATTGTGAAAGAGAACAACACTGGGCATTTCATACTATATTTCCATAGATCATATTCTGATCTAGATCCTATCAATTTTATAGGGATAATAAATAATAAATGTTAACAATTATGTTTTTATTTGTGTTTCATTCATTTTATTATATTTTTACACATTTATGAACCTGATAAAAATGAGTACAGTTATTTCATGAATCTAATCCAAAAAATTGAACTCCAAACATGCAGCCCTGTAAGAAGGATCCTCAATGAAGCCCAGGTTTTTAAAGAGTTTGTAGGACAGCACATTGTCTTCTTCTATGTAGCAGAACACCGGGTAACCCTCGGCATGCAGTTTCTTGGCCAAAGTGCTGATCACGACTTTGGCATATCCTTTCCCTCTGTGCTCTGGCAGCGTATACAACATTCCCAGAGCACAGTAATCATACACAAGTATCCAGGACACGGGTTGACCCTGGCTGTCTGTGATGCAGCATGATGGGAAGTTACTG